CTTTTTACACTGTGCTCGAGGCACAGGAACCCATGCCTTCACACCAAACGTATGCACATGATCAACTTTGGGCTTCTTGTTGAACAATTTGAACTAGGGTGTTGTTCCAACTGATTTATGATACAAGCGATTCTGCAAATAACAAGCCGAAAGATGATGATGATGATGATGATGATGATGATGATAATAATAAAAATTTTTATTTATATCCTGCCCTCCCCAGCCAAAGCCGGGCTCAGGGCGGCTAACAACAGTAAAATAGTACAACATTCTAAAATCATTCCATTATAAAATTAATTCAACTCAAAATGATGGCAACCATTAGGCTAAGGTTCTGTGAAGATTGCCAAAGGAGGGAGTCAGGCTGTGCCTTGACCAAAGGCCTGGAGGAACAGCTCTGTCTTGCAGGCCCTGCGGAAAGATGTCAAGTCCCGCAGGGCCCTAGTCTCTTGTGACAGAGCGTTCCACCAGATTGGAGCCGCAGCCGAGAAAGCCCTGGCTCTAGTTGAGGCCAGCCTAACCTCTCTGTGGCCTGGGACCTTCAGGATGTTTTTGTTTGAAGAACATAAGTTCCTCTGCGGGACATACCAGGAGAGGCGGTCTCGTAGGTACGAGGGTCCTAAGCCCAAAAAGCTTTTGATAGACCAGCATCCTCAAGCATTGAGTACATCATCTCTTGTAGAGATCTGTTTTTCCTCTTAGCCAATCCGTTTTCTTCCGGAGAATGGGGGTTCGTTTTCCTATGACCTATGCTCTTTGTCTGTAACCAAGACTGAAAAGGTCCAGAGACAAATTCGCCTCCGTGATCAGACTGCAGCTTTCTCACTTTAAAAGAAAACTGCCTCTCAACATAAGCCACCCAGCCTTTGAACTTGGTAAACACTTCACCTTTGTGCTTCATAGGGTAGACCCAACAGAACCTTGTGGCTTCATCTATGATCGTTAGCATATAACAGGAATTAGCCCTGCTGAGTGCGAAAGGACCCACCACATCACCATGCACAAGTTGAAAAGGATTTTCTCTCACTTCCGGGATAAGACCTTCAGTGGCTCTTGACTTTCTTACAAACATTACAGCATAGCTGTCAACTGTCCCTTATTTGGCAAGAAACTCCCTTATCCCAGCACTGTTTCGTGCTGCTGTCCCAGATTGATGATGTCCCTTAAATTTCCCGGGTTTCAAAGGAAGCAGCTTCTCTCCCTCCCTCCCTGCCAGCCAGGGAGGAGGGAGGCTCCAACTGTGTTGCTTGGCTGCGTTGCTCACCCAATAAGGAGTCTAAGAACTACTGGGGGGTGGAGCTTGCATGCCTTGTGCCAATCAAATCAGCCGCATTGCCTGGGGACTCGCCTTTGCTCAGCACTTCCCAGCGGAGAGGTGACGGTGGTTTTCCTTGCTGCATCCTCTTTGCCGGGTTGCTGCGCTGTGGGAACCACAGCTTGAGGCTTCGTTTGGCTGCTGGGTGACTAAAATCCCTTATTTTGGCTGCTGATCCCTTATTTTCGAGGCTGCTGGTCCCTTATTTTCAAATCTGTAAGTTGACAGCTATACATTACAGTCAAGATACTTGTCACAACCCTGTAATTCACACCCATTACTTAATTCTGGCATTTTGGTTACACTGCGCCAGTGGGCGTGACCTAATCTTCTGTGCCATAGATGCAAACATTTTTTATAGAACGCCTCATTTTTACATACAGGTTGTGTATCATTGCTAGCTAGTACAGACTCTTGAACACAGTCTTTTAGCACAAACAAAGAATTTTCTGCCAGAGCCCTCCCCAATGTCTCTCCGCCTTTCTGGATCTCATAGTAACTGTCCCAAAAATGCACTACAAACCCAGCTTTCAGAGGACAGGAGACAGACATCAGGTTGCTCCTCAGCGAAGGAACACACACAACGTTGTCCAGATGCGTGCGTCGACAGGAGACAAAAACAGAACCACCCGACTCCATGTCAGATTCCCTCCCGTCAGCCAATGCCACCTGAATCCGTGGTGTAGAAACCTTCTTGGCAAAAAGTTAGGTAAACTCTGCTGAACAGTTTAAAGAGGTTTTATCACCTTTTGCGGAAGTGGTGAACAATGACGAAGTTGTTTTAAAGATAACTCGCCAAACTGAAGTCTTGGTCAAGAGATTTTATTCCCTGACCAGGTACAAGCATTACGGTAGCAAAGGTATTTCCAACTGTTAACAGTGTGCTGTTAACTGCTGTTTCTATCAAAGTCTCTTATCTCCCAAACTTGAGATGGCTGCTGTGACTGAAACTTTCCACATTCTACGCTCTGAGTTTCTCCCTGTAGCACCAGTCCTGAAAGACCTACATTGGCTCCCATTATGTTTCTTCTCTAATTGTCTTTCATTTTGTGAAATTTACTCCTGGCAAACCCAAGTTTTGATTTGGGGACAATGTTTACACATATAATTTTTGACACAATCCCATTCTTTTTTAACCCTTAGGTTCAAGTGATTTCTTATTGCTTCTGTCATTTTGGCTAGCTCAATACATTCAGAGTTTCATTTCACTCTTCCTTAAAGGTAAAGGTACCCCTGACTGTTAGGTCTAGTCACGGACGACTCTGGGGTTGTGTGCTCATCTCGCTCTATAGGCCGAGGGAGCTGGTGTTTGTCCGCAGACAGCTTCCGGATCAAGTGGCCAGCATGACTAAGCCGCTTCTGGGTTGTCAGTTTTAATGCACATAGCCAAAGGCTGCCGCAATGTACACAGAATCATTCAACAATTTAAAGAAAATATGCTGGATTAATACAAAAAACTTAAAACATTTATATTACCAAGACATTACCTTCTCTAAACAGAGCTATAAAAGTACCTTAATATACAGGTTAAGACATAAACAATAAAATTTATAGGCTAAAATCATCACATGGCCACTAATATATTAAATAATGTTAATTAATACAATGTGCAATTATATTCGAAGTTTGGTGATAAAGATAGAATATAGCTTGATGTAGATAGGGTCAAATAAATTCATCTCCTTTACAGTTGGTGGCTATCTTGGCTATATAATTTGCTCTAATTTTCCTAGCAGCAGTTGCAAAGAGTGTCTGCGAGGAGATACAAAATCATGTCAGAGGGGTTCTGGCCAGGGGACCTTGTCATTATAGGTGCTAAAAATCATTCTCTTGCTTCATTATATAAGGGGCAGCACAAGATACAATGCATAAGGTCCTCTACTTCAGGACATCCCCTAATGCAAACACGTTCAATCCCATGTCTGTTCCTTAAGGTGGAATGGAAATGTCAACACTCTGTCCTTTATCTCCGTCAGTAGTTCATACTTAATTCTGGGTTTTTTGCCTTGCCATATGAACTTTGCCAGTTTGCCAGATTACGAGTAGTTACTTTTCACTAACAGTTTTGTTTTGTTTTTATTCAATTAAAATCAGATATCTTGTCAAATTCATTCATTCCAGTGTTTTCAATGTGCTTTCTATTGGGTTTTCTGTTACTGTGAATGTCTTCATCAACACAGAGAATGGGGTGTAGAAATAAAAAGCTGTTCACAATATCTTTTCTTAGTTTTATTTTGAAAAACATAGCAGCCAAACGCTGCAAACTATCACTCCTCCTCACTGGCTGCTTACAAGACATTTGATCAAATTAAATAGGGCAATTGGTTAATTGAAACTATCACATTCCTTCCTGCACCCACTAACTCCCCTTTTAATTAGGCAAAAAATCAAGAGACCGCAGGTGTACAGGTTTAGTCAGATAAGGACTAAACCCGCCTCCTCGATAATGACATGGTCTGGTCTTAGTGTAACTCCTCCTCCTACCCGTGATCACTGAGATTGGTTGTCCCAGCACATCCCCCCCCCACCCTGTGGAACCTGCCCCAGCCATTTTGTTGGCTGGGACCACTCCCAGGGAGCCCTGACCCCCTCCCCTTAAAACAAATAAAACCTATATAAAAACAAAACAACACAATAAAACAATAAAAACCCAAAACAGTAAAAATTACAAACATACCAAAATTAAACAAATTCCCAAACCCGACTAAACACCCATCCCACCCCCCACACCAAAAAGAATTAAAAAAGGTAATTATTTAATTTTTTTTTAAAAAAAGAACTCTGCACTGTTCTGAGTTCTCCTGGGCAGGCCAGATGGTGAGAGGCAGGGACAGGACTTGCAGGCACTCACAGCAGGGGAGTCCTCCTGGGCAGCAGAAACAGTCCTTATGAGGCCTGTCAGACCCAGCCCTGGGCCAGATGGTGAGAGGCAGGGACAGGACCTGCAGTATAAGGCTAACTATACACACAACAGGAACAGAAATACAAGCATAATAGTTTCAAATAAATTCTCGGCTGATTCCGCACCTGCGGGATCAGGACAGGCCGTCCGCATGACAATGGCCCCACATGGCAAGGTGTGCCAGGCGAGGTGGGCTGCTGCCAAAGGGTCTGCAATTTGCAAGTTAGTTTCCTAAGGTTTCATCCCTTGCGATTTGCAAGTTAGTTTCTTAAGGTTGCGGTCCGTATATACTGATTCACCTCCGCCATTATCTAATATTGTCCAGTTTAGCGGCTGGAGGGTGATGCTGTCAGAGAAAAGTGTGTAGGAGCCATTTAAGCAGCGGGCTCGGTTCCAGGTGCCATCTTGGGTTAGGATAGGTTTCCCGAGGAGGGTATAAGCTGGTGAGCAGATGAATAGTTCACAAGTCTAATGGGCTGTAAGGGTCAGTAAGACGGAATAGCGAAGGAGGACACAGGTTTCTGGCACGCAAAAGTCAAAGTCACCTAGGCGATCCAACAATCCTTTCTTTACCATGTCAACAATTCCAAAATCAAGGTGTCGTTGTTCGATTTTTAGCCCTGGACATGAAACGTGTGAAGACATGGCAGGCTCAGAGTGGGGAAGGAAGGTGGCCAAGATGGAGGATACAAGGAGGAGGGTCCAAGGAAAAAATGGGCTGATATTAGTGGGGGTCATGGTGGTTGTGAAATGTGAAGAGGAGCTGTCAAAACGAACAAGCTGTCAAAGCAGTGCTTTATGAAGTCGAAGGCGTATCGGGGGTCTCTCACGGTTGTCTGTTGTAGGGACGATCTCAGAGGTCCAGTGGGTCGCAGCCGGTGGTGGAGGAGGTCCAGTCGCTGTCGGTGGTGGAGTAGGTCCAGTCTGTTGGGCCCGATTCATGCCCCGAGCTGGTCCAGTCTGTTGGGCTCGATTAGTGCCCTGCGTTGGTCCGGTCTGTTGGGCTCGATTCGTGCCCCGAACTGGTCCGATCTGTTGGGGTTCCTCAGAGTCGGTGTTGTCATCTGCCGGTTGTGGTGGAGTGGTGTGGGTCACGGGGGTGTCGTCTCTGTTTGTGACGTCGTTGGGTGGAAGAGCGGGTTTGCAGCGGGTGTGGTGGAGCCAAGCCGATTTTTCTGCTACTTTAAGAGAAGTAGGGGTAGTCAGTAATACCTGATAGGGTCCTTCCCAGGTGGGCTGCCACGGCACCTTGTGGTAGGTCTTCATCAATACCCAGTCACCTGGTTGGAAGGAGTGGATATTTTCGTCCAGGGGTATATTTTGACTCCCAGCTGCATACCTGTGGAGAACAATCAATTGCTTCTGGAGCTGGATTACATATTGGGTTAGTTCAGATTCGCCCACCTCCAGTTCAGAAGGAGGAAATTGGGTGCTGTACACAGGGGAGGGTCTCCCGAAGAGTAACTCGTATGGGGATAGGTTCAGGCTCCCCCGTGGGCATCTTCTGAGGTTATGTAGTACCAAAGGGAGGGCATTGACCCATTTTAATCCGGAGGTTTTGCAAAGTTTTCCCAACTGGGACTTGAGTTGTTGGTTCATCCTTTCAACTTGTCCAGAGGATGGGGGGTGGTAAGGGGTGTGCAATTTCCATTTAATTCCTAATGCTTTTGCTATTTGTTGAACTACATCTGATGTAAAATGGGAGCCTCTGTCACTGTCTATATGCCTTGGGACTCCGAAATGTGGTATAATTTCGTGTAATAAGGCTTTGGCTACTACTTGCGCTGTAGCCCGGTGTGCTGGGAAGCATTCCATCCACCCGGAAAGCTGATTGATGACGACAAGAGCATGTTTGTAGCCCTGGCAGGGGGGCAAGTCTATAAAATGTGCTTGCAAACTTTCGAAGGGAACTGTAGTAATGGGGCGCCCAGCCCCTTGCCCCTCCCTCACCTGTCTTTGCTCTCCGGCCAGAGCAGGTTTCTGGAGCACGGCTGGCAAACCCGTTTACTTTTCAGAAACAGGACAAAGTGGTACTGGTAAGGCTGCCACCACTCCCTCGTCCCAGGGTTACGTGAAGCCACAGCTCAAGAGAGCCAGCTGTGCTCCTTTGTTACCGGCTACCCCAAACTACAAGTTGCTTCCACAAGCTTGCAGGCAGAAATCCTTTGATAGAGCGCAACCAAGAAGTCTAGGCGTTGGAATTAGCTATTCCCCCGGACAGGCACACACAATACAAGAGAAAGTTTCTTTCTTAAAATTTATTTAAAAAACATAAAGAACATGCTAATAAGCAGGCACATCTTTTGGTAAATTACAAGTACAGAAAAATAAGAACGTTGTAAATTATAGCTGACTATATACTCACTTCTATACTCTAAGGCAAAGATAGGATAGTTAGAGTCTTTCAGAAATCCCCATCCAAAGGTCTTAGAAAATCTTCAACGCAAAAGAACAAAAGGACGGAAAGACGGCTGCTTTGGTGGACATCAGCAGCCGGGCGATTTTTGCGGATTGCAGAGCGCGTGCTTTCAAACCATTCTCTAGATCTTTTATCCATAATTTGCACGTGGAATCAGAAACCCCTAGGCCCAATCAGACCCCTTGATTACATTTGAATTCTCCAATGACCAATTGGTGGGCTAATAATTCTAACTTGTGGCAGCTGAGCCAATTAAGCCTTCAGCCTAGATCAAGGTGTTTCCTCCCTTTCCATGGAGACTGGTGGAGCTTAGGCAGATGTACATTCCCAAGCAATCAAGGATAGATAACATTACAGAGGGTATGTTCATAGCTTTGAACGCAGGTGTTAAACCATCAATTTAGCCCGAAAATTCATTTCCCATAGAAATCCTCTCACGCCCGTGGAGCCAACGGGCCCACGGATTAAAGCAACAGGATGGCTCCCATAATTCTTACTGGTTTCCCACAAGGCCTCACCCTCCACTTGACCAAAGAACAGCTTCTAGGAAAGTACTAACTTTACTACAGGAACGAAAGCCCATGGTCTGGCTCCTGGAGGGCATCTAGCAGTATGTTTCGGGTTGAAAGTCTGGCAGGTGTGGCAGTTCTTTACTGCTGCCTTTGCAGTGAGGGTTAGCCCTGGTCCAGCAGCGTTGAACTGTATCCATGAGTTTGTCCCTTCCCCAGTGGGTACACTGGTGTAAGATTCTGAGGTGTTTTGGTACCCAAAGTTTAGGCATTAGGAGTCTCTTATCAGGGAGGTACCAGATGCCATCTTGCAAAGAGGCCCCTTGCTCTTTCCAACCCTCTAGCTCCTCTACGGTTGCTGTCTTATACATTTGTTCAAAATCAACATCCGAAGGAATTTGAGTTCCTTGGAATTCGTTATCTGGTGATAGGGGCTGTAGGGCTGCTTCCTGTGCTATATGATCGGCACAGCGGTTTCCGACCGAGATTGGGTCCTTTCCTTTGGTGTGGGCTTTGCAGTGCACTACGGCTATGGCCTCGGGGAGATGTATAGAGTTCATCAGGCGTTCGACTAAGGGCGCGTGGGCAATCTGGGTACCTGCAGCTGTCAGGAAACCCCTTTGGAGCCAAATCTGCCCTGTAGCATGAACCAGTCGGAAACAATATCTTGAGTCTGTATAGATTGTAATTCTTTGTCCCGCCCCCAGTTCACAGGCTCGGATGAGTGCAATTAGTTCAGCAACCTGTGTGCTATATTTGGCATGGATGGGGCGTGCTTCTAGGATGTCAGTGGCAGTCACAACTGCATAGCCACTCTTACGCTCTCCTCCCACTATCTTTGAGCTCCCATCTGTATATATAATGAGGTCTGGGGCCTCCAAGGGGAGGTAATCTAGGTCTTCCCGTGGTTTCTCAGCGTGACGAACTACTTGGGAGCAATCATGATGTGGTGAGCCGTCATCAGGGAGGGGTAGGAGAGTTGCGGGGTTAAGGGAATTCACCCTTTTGATTGTTACATTTGAAGGGCTGAGGAGGATGGCCTCATACCTATTTAGTCTTTGTATGGTAAAACGTTGGCACCCCTGTAGGTTAAGGAGGGTGGCTACAGCATGAGGGACATTTCTAGTCAGGTCATGCCCTAACACAGTCTCTTGTGCCTTTTCCAAAAGTAACGCTGCTGCTGCTGCTGCCACTGCTCTGAGGCACATTTCCCATGGCAGTGGTATCTAGTTGGAGGCTATAGTAGGTAACAGGTCTGTTTCTGTCACGAATTCCTCGCGGCACTTTTAGCAGAATGCTCAGAGTCCCAGGTTCTTTAGTGCAGTATTGTTTAATGTGAGCTAAATATATATACAAATATCTACAGAAGCAGTTCATATAATCAGACAGAGTACCTGCACCTTGAGGCAAAAGAAGACTCCACACTCCACCACTACTACTATTGAACAGGCTTTACTTTTAAACCGGTGACAGCCAACCACATTACTGCTGAATCATTCTGACCCAGCACTTCCACAGAGAGTATTGCATCAGCCTGTTGCAAACTGAAGCCTGCAGACTTACTTACACAGCATCCTGTGAATCCCAACAGTTTCTTCCTTGGAAGGGCTGTGTGAGGACATCTGAAGCTACCCCTTTATTTTCATGTACAAACAGGGAGAAGGGCAGCCGGTAGTCAGGGAGTCCAAGGGCAGGTGAGGATCTTAATTCTCGCTTGATGGATTCAAAAGCTTCAAGTGCCTCTGCAGACCATTCGAGTTGTTCTGGGGCGTTGTCATGGGTCATGGCAGTGAGGGGACGGGTGAATTCTCCATACTGGGGAATCCAGGCGCGACAGAACCCGCTCATCCCGATGAAGCCTCTAAGTTGTCTTTTTGTCTTTGGAAGGGATAGTTTTGTTATAGCTTCTATCCTGTCGGTGGAGAGGGCACGGGTCGCTTCCTCCAAGATATGGCCGAGGTATTTTACTTCTTTCTGGCAATATTGTATTTTCTTTGGGGACACCTTATGTCCTTTGTACGCCAATATTGTGAGGAGAGCTATGGTGTCCGATTTACAAGATTCTAAGTCCTGCCCACATAGAAAGATATCATCAACGTACAAAAGGAGGGCGGAGCCTCCTGGAAGAGTGACATCCAATAGGTCCTGGTGCAGTATGGCGGAAAAAATCGCTGGGGATTCTACGTATCCCTGAGGTAGTCGTGTCCATGTTAACTGGCCGGTTTGCCAAGCAAAGGCAAAAAGGAATTGACTTTCTGCATCCACAGGGATACTGAAGAAGACAGAGCACAAGTCAATGACTGAATAAACTACAGTTCCCTCTGGAATTGTGCTCAGGACGTGGTGAGGGTTAGTCACTATGGCATGTCGGGGAATAACAAAGGAGTTTACAAGCCTTAGGCCCTGAACTAAGCACCATTTTACGGGATTTGTGTGGGTCTTACGGACAGGGAGTAGGGGGGTGTTGCACGGAGAGGCACAAGGAACTAGAAATCCCATTTTTAAGAACTCCTCAATCATTGGGGTGAGTCCCTCTATTGCTTCTTTTGGTAGTGGATACTGTCTGGTGCAGGGAAAAGGCAAATCCTTCCTGTAATTTACCTTTACTGGAGTTGCAGACTTCAAAAGTCCAACTGACGTGGATTTGGTTCCCCATAGCCAAGGGAGGACCCCATTCAGGAGTTCAAGGGGGAGGTCGAGGTTCTTATCTTTTTTAAAAAAATAATTTTTATTGAATGATTTTATGTTACAAAAAACAATACAGCCATACCACCACTAAATATAATTAAGAAATAAAAATTACATACATCAATATTTAGTTTGTTATTTGTTATTTACAGTCTTATTTCCTCCCAAACATTGCACACAACAACAGACATATGTGCAGACACCCACACACTCACACCCGCACACAAAATAAATATTTCCCCCCCTTTTATCTTCCAAAATCTTTTCTTCAACTTTGACTTCCTGTCAAGTCCCTTTCCATATATTTTATCTTACATTTGAATGTACACAAAACAATAAACCTTTCTATATAATTTTTCTAATACATTCTCAAAACATAATAAATCCTTAATTGTTGTCCACCTCCTTTTAGTTCCTTTATCACTCGAATGCTAGCACGGACTCAAAACTATTACTGTATTTTTGAATATATCTTCTATAACCATCCCATTTTTTCCGCAAATTTTTGCTTTGAGTTTCCTCTGAGTTTACTAGTCAGTTGAGCCGTCTCCACCAATTCCTGTAATTTGATTTGCCAATCTGTTATTTTTGGAGCCTCGTGATCTTTCCATCCCTTGGCCACAAGTATACGAGCCGCTGCGGTTGCATACAAGAATACCTCTCTTAGATTTTTTGGGATCTCTTTATCTAAAATAATTAATAGAAATGCCTCCGGTTTTTTAGTAAAAGTTATCCCCATCATCTTTTTTAATTCTTGTTATCAGCCTCTTGTAAGACCCCTTGAAAGTTGAAAATTGACTCATTGGGCATATGTAGGTAAATTCCCTCCTGGCCACACTGGATGGTGGCATTTAACTTGCAAAGCAGATCCCTTCCTAAGAGATTGACAGGGCTAGACGTCAGCAAGAAGGTGTGTTTAACTGACAAAGGTCCGACTGACACTTTGGCGGGCTTGGAGGGGGGCAAATTCGGGGGATTCCATCTAGTCCCATTACGGTCCTAGTTCCTTCTCCTGGGGCCAAGTGACTATTGGTAAGGGTAGAATATATGGCTCCTGTATTGAGCAGGCAGTCATAGGATTGTCCATCTATCTGCATGGTGCAGATAGGATCAGAGGAAGATAGCTGTAAGATTGGACAGAGAAAAGGAAAAGAGGCAGGATCTGCTTCTGATTGTCAGTAATCACTGTATTCTTCCATCACCATCTCATGGGAAGAGTTTGCAGAGCGATTTGGGTGGTTGAAAGGATTATTACTATTAGGTGGATTCCTGGGTCGCGGTATGGGAGGAGGAGGTGCCATCTGGGTTTGCACTTGAGAGGGTCCATACATAGGACCCTGAACATGGGGTTGGTTGACTCTCTGTATTCCAGTCTCAAGGTCTTTGGGTCTCTATAGTCTGCTCTCCTGGTTCTGGACTCCTGGAGGCTGGTCAATAGGGGGCAATATCTTTTTATATGTCCCATCTCATTGCAATGAAAACAGGTGTGCCTATCTGGCTGTTCATACCCCCTTCCTTTTTGCTTTTCCCTGCAAGGGGTAACCCCCGGTGGCCTAGGCTAGCACTCATGGGAGCTCTGGTTTTTGGTCCTTCCTTTTCTGTTCATCCCTTGAATTAAAGACGAATTTCACAATGGAGAGGATCTCGTTTATTGTTTTTCCATCATAGCCGAGGTGTGCGTTTAACGCCTTTCGTATATCGGCCGTGGCTTGATCCTTAAAAAACCCTTTAACAATAACTTAGTGTTGTGGGCTCTCTGGGTCTATTCCACCCCACGTTTTGATTGCAGAACTATCACATGTAATAATCAGAGGGGTGTTCGTCGGGTCCTTGTAGGACGGCTTGGACTTTAGTCCAATTTACAGTCCGCTGTCCTGCAGCTTGTAAGCCATCTAGGATAGCCTTCTTGAATATCTTTAAGCCCCACATGCCATCGGTGGTATTATAGTCCCAGGCAGGGTCGTTGACAAGGGTTTGGGTTGTCAGTGGGGCCATGGAAGCGGGTTGGTCTGCTTGGTAGTCGGGTCTACCCAAAGCCTCCCCCACTTTTACTAATATCTCCCTCTTTTCAGCTTCGTTGAAAAGGGCCCCCAGTAACATGTGTACGTCTGCCCATGTCGGGTTGTGGGTGGAGAAAATAGTAGCTACCTGTCGGTGGCATTTATCAGGGTCATCTCGGAGGGAAGGCATTTTATCTGACCAATTCATTAGGTCCGAGGTGATGAAAGGCTGATGGGTGAAAACCATACGCGGTGGGTCTCCTGCTCTGGCTGGGGGTATGGGCAGTGCTCTGAGGGGAAACACGTTCTCTGCGTCTCCATTAACTAGGTTGTTTCTATTTCGGGTCCGACTAGATACTGGCCCATCCCGTTCCTCATCCAGTGGTCCCCCTTTAGGTAGGCCTTTTGAGTTCGGGTCAGCAATTTTTCTCTGGATCTTTAACTCCAGAGAAAATCGATTTACATATATAACACAATACAACACTACCACATCACCGATCAGTTAAGAACCACTAAATCTCTTTATAATGGCCCAGTCTTTCTACATGGACAGCACTCAAAAATTCAGCCACTATTAAAGTAATTTGATCATTCCTGTCCGAGAGCAGGTCCTGAACCTTTGGTAGCATAGAATTGAGCCTGTTGAGTTGTAAGGCCTCTAATAATTGTCTTCTGGCATAAATGCCAAAATCACAAGAAAAGAAAATAATGCTCCAAAGTATCAGGTTCCTGTTTACTACATTTGCAGAGGCGCTCTGGTTTTGGGAGAGCTACCCTAACCATTCAGGGAGAAGATGGTCTGATGTGGTCTGAAATATAGTCAGCAAAGCAGGCATCATCAGAAAGACCTGAGCCACAGGGTACCGTCCACCTCTGGGATGTCCTGTAATTTTGGTTTTGTCATCTCCCCCCCCCCCCGCACAGGGTCCCTTCCAGGTGTTCTGGACAACCACACCTCCTCCTCAGCCCCAGCACCACATGGTCTTGCTTGCTGAGGGGTGCCAGGGGGCTTGACTTAGACCTTGAAACTTCCATTTCAAAAGTCCAGAAGTCTCATTTGTGTGGCTTCTTTCCATGGATTATAGCACACTGGCCACTACCTCCCAGGTATCACCAGTAATGTTTAGTGTGTTGAGCTACTTCACCAACACAGAGTGTGCGCAGTGAATGGGGCGTAGAAATAAGAAAGCTACTCAAGTCTTTGCAGATGACTTGGTACTAACAATAGAAGAACCATTATCCAATGCTGAAGTATTAGAAGAAATAGAACAATTCAGACAAATAGCAGGTTTTAAATTTAATAGAAAGAAAACTAAAATGTTAGTTAAAAATATGAATCAAGATTTGGTGGATATGTTGCAACAGCAGATTGGTATAGAAACAGTTAAAAAAATTAAATATTTAGGAATTTGGTTAACATCAAAGAATATAGATTGATTTCAAAATAATTATACAACGATGTGGAATGAAATTAAGAGAGATCTGGAAGTATGGGGAAGGATGAAACTATCCCTATGGGGAAGGATATCGGTTATCAAAATGAATGTGCTACCAAAAATGTTATTTTTGTTTCAATCAACTCCAATAATCAAGGGGGTAGCGATATTTAAGGAATGGCAAAAAATAATTTCAAGATATATCTGGCAGGGGAAGAAACCAAGAATCCAATTCAAATTGTTAACAGATGTTAAAGAACGGGCTTTGCCTTGCCAGACTTGAAATTATATTATGAAGCATCTTGCCTCTGTTGGTTGAAGGAATGGATGTTGTTAGAAAACAGATTTGTTGGATTTAGAAGGTTTTGATAATAGGTTTGGTTGGCACGCATATCTATGGTATAATAAATAAATACAGTTTCAATTAACCAATTATCCTATCACATTCCTTCCTGTACCCTGTCCAGAAAGTAACTCCCCTTTTATTAGACAAAAAAATCAAGAGACCGCAGGTGTGCAACTAGGTAGGTCAAACTGCAAACATACACCTCTGAAACCAACCTGGTCCTTGAGTAGCATTATTGACCACTTACAGATAAAGAAAAACCAAGCCAGGTTGCTTGACTTACTGTAGACCTTGAAACTTCCATTCCAAAAGTCCAGAAGCCTCATTTGTATGGCTTCATTCCATAGATTATAGGCCACTACCTCCCAGGCACCACCCGTAATCTTTAGTGTGTCCCCCCCCCAAACCCCCACCCAATTAAATTTGTTGCCCCTTTCCCTGCCCGGCTTCTCAACCAATCATTCCTCAGCGCGGAACAGTGCAGAGATGGTAGGCGGGTGGGATGTTTGCAAAACCGTTTGCTGCGGCTGTGAGGTCGATGTCCTCGGGCTGGTCGGGGGACTTGAGCGTGAAATGTTGCAGGATGGAAGTCAGGAAGACAAAGAGCTCCATGCGCGCTAGGCTTTCCCCGGCACAGATCCTTTTCCCTGCAGAGAGAATCAAGCAGCAATTTATGGCTTTAGTCCATAGCTGTCAACCGTCCCTTATCCCAGCGCCATGTCCCGCTGCTGTCCCTTATTGATGATGTCCCTTAAATTTCCCAGGTTTCAAAGGAAGCAGCTCCTCTTCCTCCCTCCCTGCCGGCCAGGGAGGAGGGAGGCTCCAACTGTGTTGCTTGGCTGCGTTGCTCACCCAGTAAGGAGTCTAAGAACGACTGGGGGGTGGAGCTTGCATGCCTTGTGCCAATCAAATCGGGCGCGTTGCTTGGGGACTCGCCTTTGCTCAGCGCTTCCCAGCAGAGAGGTGACGGTGGTGTTCCTTGCTGCATCCCCTTTGCCGGGTTGCTGCGCTGTGGGAACCACCGCTTGAGGCTTCGTTTGGCTGCTGGCTGGGCTTTCTGCCTTTGGATGGGAGGAGCTCAGAAGTTGAACATACCTGTGCCCCTTGGAAAATCCCTTATTTTGAGGCTGCTGGTCCCTTATTTTCAAATCTGTAAGTTGACAGCTATGCTTTAGTCTGGTGTTTGATGGTGCAAATTTAATTTAATTTAATTTAATTTTACAAATTGTTATTTGGTTTTTCAAATTAAAAATTTACAGAGACGGTGTTGTTGTTGTGGTTTAGTGGTTTAGTCGTGTCCGACTCTTTGTGACCCCATGGACCAGAGCACGCCAGGCACTCCTGTCTTCTTACAGAGATATAGAAATAATTAAAACAAGATCCCAAGGAATCTCCTGGACTTCCATCCTCCCCTTTGTGGGTCCCATTATTAATCATTTCCTCCCGCATCTTTTATGATACTCCAAATCCTTTGCCTGTTCCATTATGTCCAGTATTCAACCTTAAACTACAAGTGATACTCCAATCCTACTAACGATTTTAACTGTTTACAATGGTCTTTAAGATATGGTGTAAATTTTCCCCATTCCTTATTAAAAATTTGGTCTTCCGATGGTGCAGAGGTTATCCCTCTAATTCTGCAAGTAAGCTCTTCCCATTTCTTTGCCATATGCATCACCATCATCAATCTTTATTACGGTCCAGAGACCCAAGAAATCATTACAGAGCAATACACAATTCATACAGCCTACCTCCAGGTTAAACAAGCATTTTGTTCAGAATATAGGGATTATTTGTTCTTGCAACCACTGATAAAAACTTTGCCACTGCTAATGTTCTAGCATTTGTCCAGTCTTCCAATAGGAACCTGACATAGTGAGCCTCTGATTTTCCTGGGAAAGGTACCAGCAAGGGTAGTATCAGCTTAGCCCTGGCTTGCTCATATTTTGCACAATGCAGCAAAATATGTTTTATGGAATTGATGCCATTAGCACACGAGCAAAGTCTGTCCTGGTAGGGAACTCCTCTCAATCTGCCATCCAACACTGCAGAAGGAAAGATGTTTAGTCTGGCTTTGGTGAAAAGCCTTCGATAGTTTGGTACTGTCAGGTTTTTAATGTAAGATGTTAACTTAAAGACATGCCCATATTGTACTCCTACTGCCAGCGGACTACAGACTGTGTGTGATCGAGATCGCAAGTCACTGTGTGCATTATCCTATAATCTTTGCTTTAACATCTTTAGGGCGCCTTCATAACCCAGGTAATACAGTTGGGGAGGGGGTGACAGACCAGTAGAGGTGGCTTTTTTAGCCATGGTTTTCTGCCATTTGCTGACAAATTCCTCATTGGCCAGGTGTTGGTACAAACCCTTCCCTAGATCAAACACTGAAATTCTGAGCCAATGTTTTAGGGCAGCCCACCACACTTTAGTTGAAATTGGGCATTCATCAGTATGGATTTGGGGACACAGTTGGGTACCTGCAGCAGAGATCGTATAAATTTTGCCTGAAAGCCATCTAGCTTTGGCAGGTCCCCATTATGCCAGACATTTGCAGCGTACAGGAGTTGGGAAACGGGTTTTGCGTTGAAAACCCTTAAGGCTGCTGGAACATATTTGCCGCCCTTTGTGAAGAAGAATCTGAGTATGGCTAGCTTTGTGATCTCCGCCTTTTGAAGGGAGGTTTGCCAGTGGTGCTTCCAAGATCCTGTATGATGGAATGTGAGCCCTTGAGCCATATGCAAAGATTGAGGCCTTGTGCCCTGCAGCAGTTCGGGGAAGCAGGGGTTGGCAAAAAACTAAGCAGCTCAAAGCTCTCCTTCCTATTCCGTCAGGGAAAGTCCCTCTGCTTTTAATGCTGCCATTAAAGGCACACACCTTCTGTCCGGGGAAGATAAGCAGAAAGAGATAAGAGGCAGCCTTGTACAATTTAGATTTTTTTATCTCTGGTCAACAAAGGTCAAAAGTGTTCCACGTCTGAAGTGACAAAACGCTTCGAAGCACAAGCCATTCCTACGGGCGTTCTTTTTTGTCCTACAACTATGTCACCCCACAGATGCCCACTAGAGGGAATCTGGTTCATTCTTCTGCAAGTGGCAAGGTCCATGGATGTATAAAACGCAGACAGACGTGGAGTGGTCTCCTTCCAGGTTCATTTGCAGCACTACAGTGGTACCTCGGGTTAAGTACTTAATTCGTTCCGGAGGTCCGTACTTAACCTGAAACTGTTCTTAACCTGAAGCACCACTTTAGCTAATGGGGCCTCCTGCTGCTGCTGCGCCGCCAGAGCACAATTTCTGTTCTCATCCTGAAGCAAAGTTCTTAACCTGAGGTACTATTTCTGGGATAGCAGAGTCTGTAACCTGAAGCATATGTAACCCGAGGTACTGTACTGTTTTGGTCTCCTCTCCAGTGATAGGAAGCACAGATAAAGCAGCAATGTCCCCAATGTCCCCATTCTTCCCCCACCTCCAAGAAAACCCAAGGAAGAAGTAAAGGTAGTCTATTGATCTTTCTAACTCTGGCCTGACCTCCCATAAATATTATTATTATTATTATTATTATTATTAATTTTATTTATACCCCGCCCTCAGGGTGGCTAACACCAGTAAAATTACAATAAAAACATAATAGGGGAAGGGGAAAAAAATAAAATAGAGGTTAAAAATACAATTTAAAATGCAGCCTCATTTTAATAATAGCCCATAGATCAAAACCATAAGGGGAGGGAAACGTAAGGGTCAGACTGAGTCCAATCAATCAATCAATCAATCAAAATCTTTCTAGCTGTTACTTTTATTTATTTAATAAGATTTTTTTAGGCTATCTTATTGAGTCACAAGGCAACTTAAGTATTCTAAAAAACAGCCACGCCTTTGCACACAAGTCAACAGAGCAAGAGACTTTTGCATGCTGTGAAAGAGGCTGGAGTTTAGCCAGTTGAGAATCAATTCAACTTTTCTGCCACCTGAGCGGTGATTGTATGTGGGATATTGGCTGGAAACCAGGCTCTGTGGCATGGGGAGGGGTGGGGGGCAGATGAAAAACTCCCTGGTGGGGTTGCAACGACAACCCCCCCCCCCAAGCTACTACTTGCACCAGGAGCAAAATACTCGATTGGGGTGTGCAGAGTTTTCACGATTAAAAACGTGTTCATTCAAGAGACTTGGAACAATTTTTTTATGGAAATAGATTATGAGGGGGAGATTTGAGGGATGAAATAGCATTTCGGTCAGGCCAAGTACCCCCACCAATTAACCTGTGAATGCCTCCCTCCTGCCATCCTCAACCTGGTACCTGTGGAGAAGGGCATGAAGGCGTCGTTCTTCTTAAAGCGACCCTCTTCGTCCAAGAAGTGGGATGGGTTGAAGTTCTCGGGGTCACTGAAGCATTCGGGGTCTTTCAGCACAGAGGTCAGCAAGGGAATGACATCCGTGCCCTAGAGGCAGGTGAGAGAAGGAAGGACAGAAGTGGGTCGGGATCTGCCACAGCCTTAACTCAGAAGGCAACTGGAAGCCTCTTCAAGGTAAAGGTAAAGGGACCCCTGACCATTAGGTCCAGTCGTGGCCGACTCTGGGGTTGCGGCGCTCATCTCACTTTATTGGCCAGGGAGCCGGCGTACAGCTTCCGGGTCATGTGGCCAGCATGACTAAGCCGCTTCTGGCAAAACCAGAGGAGCGCACGGAAACGCCGTTTACCTTCCCGCCAGAGCGGTACCTATTTATCTACTTGCACTTTGTGCTTTCGAACTGCTAGGTGGGCAGGAGCAGGGACCGAGCAACGGGAGCTCACCCCATTGCGGGGATTCGAACCGCCGACCTTCTGATCGGCAAGTCCTAGGCTCTCTGGTTTAACCCACAGCGCCACCCATGTCCCATCACTCTTTATTTAGAAGCATACAAAAACAGAAAAGAAAAACCTACAGAATCTAGCTGCATGCTTGCAGCTTTCTGTCTCTAACAAAACTAAACTACCTTGCTCACATTCTCAGATGGACTGTTCTCAGCAGCCCCCAGAGAGCACAGATCAAAGGAAAATGCCCGGGTCATGTGGGCAGTGCACCCAGTTAATAAAAACGCTCCTGGAGTGTTAACTCTTAACTGTCCAGAACCACAACAGTCATGAGTCATCATGCCTATGTGGAGACCTTGACCAATAGCAGAGTTGTATCCAAGGTCCCATATCTCTAGGCAGAATACCTGCCTCTGGTCAGTCTTCTTGGCCTTTGGCCAACTCCTTAATTGCTTCTGTGGGAAGCTATATCAAATAGCACATAGTCAAAAATCCCAACATGGCTCACCTTAGGCAGCGTGTAGCCCCTGAGTTGCAGCGTCCGGGTCAGGGCGTGGGGCAGGTTGGTGGGGATGACGTCACTAAACCTCTGGATCTCGTGGATCACCGCATCCGTGTATGGCATTTGGGCCCGCTTCTCCACCGCCGGCACGCGGTCCCTCCCGATCACATCGTCGATCTCTCGGATCACTTTTTCTGCAGCAGAGATGGGCAGAGGGTCGTGTTGGGCTCCCGTTTATGCTACGCTTGGAAATGCAGTTTGAAACTGGTTTTAACCCCCAGCCCCCCCCCGCACTCTGGAATTTTGGGAGACTGCTCAGAATTAGCCATATCCACATAGGGAGGGGCGAATCTTTTCAATTTCAGTTTTCCAAATTTCAGTTTTCCACATCAGTTTGCAATAATAAAAAATAAAGTGTCACCAACATTTCCTTGTGAATTTTTCCTAATACCGTATACACATTTGCATGCAGACCTTTTAAAAAAAGGAACTGTCCCTAATATAATGCATCTTTTGTTTATTTTCGCTATTTTTTAATTAATATTTCTGCAAAATTACATTGTTGCACATTCTATCGTTCTGTATAGTACATTCCAAATTATATGCCATATATATATATGTCTATCTGTGAATTTATATTTCCCTTGTTTCTACCATTGTGACCTCCCCCCAGCCCAGCACAGCTTCTTTTGTTTTTCATTAAGAGAGTTTGGATTTGATATCCCGCTTTATCACTACCCGAAGGAGTCTCAAAGCGGCTAACAATTTCCTTTCCCTTCCCTTTTAAATTGTGTTATACAAAGTCTTTACTTATTCCCCATAAGTCATCTTTTCTTATTTTTTACTTGCCTTTACAAGTAATACATATCAATAGTTGTGTTTTGGAACAATGTTTTGTCATATATTCTTCTACGCATTCCCAGTCTTTTCTCAATTTCTGATTTGATTGGAATCTAATAGCTGCTGTCATTTTAGCCAGTTCTATAAATTCACAGCTTGTTTTGCCAGTCTGTATGTCTTGTATGTCTTCGTATTTACTCTGCGCCTTATTGCACCCGGACTTCCTTCCGTTTCTTCAATGGTTTTCATGTCTCAAATATTTTCTTACAGTTTCTTATTTACTGTGCTGGTCCCGGGGGAGGTTACCGTGGCGCGAGGTCCGGGACCTGAGTCGAGGGTCGGCAGACAGTCCTCCACGGGCGAAGCGGGGTCCAAAGCGAGGAGCCGGGCAAGGACAGGAACTCTGGAGGAATAGGACTGGGTGCTGGCCGGAACAGCTCTTCAACGACGTTGCTCCCGCAACCTGGGACTGGGCTGACTGGCCTTTATCTTCTCTGAGGCCAGGGGCGGTCCCAGCCCCCAGGAGACCCACCTCTCCTGGCCTTAAGGCGAGCACTCCTCCTGGGAGAAACCAGTTTCCTCCGCTTCTCTGCCCTGAGCCTCTGCAGCTCAGGAGAGGCTGGAGGGTTACTGGACCCAGGGGGAGACTCACCTTCCCCTGACAGGGCTGGGAGAGGCGCACCTGTAGGCACTGTGTCCTCAACCACCTCCGGAGCCAGAGTGGATTCACCTGGTGCCTGCTCCTGAGGATCCGGCACAGGTGCAGGCGCTTCAGAATCAAGGCCCTGCCCCAGTTCATCCGGCCCTGGAGGCGGGGACTCCTGTGCAGGCTGGGATTCCTCCAGTTCAGCCTCTGAATCGGATTCCCAGGCCATCACATTTACACTCCATCCACATCACAAGATTTACATTAATCCTGCTACAGTTTTTAAATTCTTACAATTATTCCGTATATATTCTACAAATTTACTCCAATCCTTTTCGAACTTTGCTTCTCTTTGGTTCCAAATCTTATAAGTCAATTTCGCCAATTCTATGTATTCAGACATTTTTGTCTGCCACTCTGTTAAAGTTGGGATTTCTTGGGATTTCCATTTCTGAGCCACTAAGATTCTAGCGGCGGTCGTTGCATACATGAATAGTTTGCAATCTTCCTTTTTTAATTCATCCCCTGTTATCCCTAGCAAGAATGCTTCTGGTTTCTTTGGGAAAGTGTATTTAAATAGTTTTTTCATTTCATTATATATCATGTCCCAATATTTTTTCATTTTTTCACACATCCACCACATGTGAAAAAATTCACCGTCTTGTTTTACATTTCCAACACATTTTATTACTTACTCTATACATTTTTGCTAGTTTAACTGGGGTGATATACCAGCGGTACATCATTTTCATTAAATTTTCTTTTAGAGTGGAACACGCCGTGAACCTCAAACCTTCTGTCCATAATTTTACCAATCATCATAATCAATATTATAACCAAAATCAACTGCCCATTTTATCATAACTTCCTTTGTCAATTCGTCTTTTGTATTCCATTCCAACAAATATTCATACATTTTTGATAGAAGTTTTGTCCTACCCTCTATAATTTCAATTTGATATCTTGATTTTCCCCCACTAAATCCTAATTTCTTATCCTCTTTGAGTATTTCGTTTACTTGGTGGTATTGTAACCAACCCGTGAAGGCGTTCACTATGCTGTTATAGGTTTTTAACTTCCATCCTTTATCAGTTTTCATTAATATTTCTTCATAGGTTGCTCTCCTCCCTTCCATATTCAATTTTTTCACTGTTAGTACTTATTCCGGGGATAACCACCATGGCGTATGTCTCTCTAATATGTTTTTGTTTCTATCACATACCTCGTGTAGGGCACCCCTAATTATGTGGTTTACAAATCCTTTATGTATCTTTATTATACCACAAATAGGAGTGCCACCCATATCTGTTGTTATGCCCCTCTAGATCCAGCAAATCCGTATTTTTCAATACTATCCATTCTTTCACCCAACACAGACAGGAGGCTTCATAATAAAGTTTTAAATTTGGCACAGAAAATCCTCCTCTCTCTTTCTTGTCATTTAGTGGTTGAAATTTTATCCTGGGCCTCTTCCCTTGCCATATGAATCTTGATAATACTTTTTGCCAGTCCCAAAATTGTGATGAACCTTTAATAATTGGAATCATTTGAAATAAGAATAATATCTTTGGTAATATGTTCATTTTGATCTCCACCATTCTGTCACATTCTGTCACACCAGGATAATGTTAGTCTATTCCAAATATCTAAATCTCTTTTGATTTCTCTCCATATCGGTACATAGTTGTCATTAAACAAATTAATATTTTTAGTCGTTAACCAGATTCCCAAATACTTCACTTTCTTCACCACTTTGATTCCACACTTTTGTTCCAACAGTTCTGTCTCCTTTCTATCCATATTTTTAACCACCAATTTTGTCTTTGTTTTGTTTAATTTAAATCCTGATAGTCTGCCAAATTCTTCCATTTCCTCCCTTGCTTTCATAACACTTATTTGTGGTTCCTCTAAGGTTAGTACTAAATCATCGGTATAAGCCTTTAGTTTGAATTCTTTTACTCCAATTTTTATACCCCTTATTTCTGATGTCCTTCTCAGCGAGTTTGTTAAGACCTCCAATACTATTATGAACAGTAATGGGGATAAAGGGCATCCCTGTCTTGTGCCCTTGGTTATATCAAATGACTCCGTTAAGACATTATTTACAATTAATTTAGCTCTCTGTTTGGAATAGAATGCCTCTATACCTTTTATGAAGGCTCCCTCTACTCCCCTTAATCCCACACTTTTCTTCAAAAATTGCCATGACACATTATCGAAAGCTTTCTCCGCGTCAATAAACATTAATGCCGCTGGTTTGTCATTTCTAACCTCTAAGTATTCTATTACATTTACAATGTGTCTTACATTATCTTTTAGCTGACGTTCGGGTAAGAACCCCGCTTGATCTTTGTGAATTACCTCCTTTAGAATTTGCTTTAATCTATTTGCTAGTATGTCTGAAAATAACTTATAGTCATTATTCAGCAGAGATATTGGTCTGTAGTTCTTAACATTTAAAGGGTCAGCCTCCTGTTTTGGGATTAGTGTTATGTACGCCTCTTTCCAAGTATTCGGGATATTTCCTCCTTGTAAGATATTGTTCATTAACTCACAGAGAACTGGAGTCAGCTGTCCACACAGGGTTTTATAATATTTAGTAGAGAGTCCATCAGGTCCTGGGGCTTTACCTAATTTCATTCTTTTAATTGCATTTTGAATTTCTTGTATCGTTATTGGGTTATTTAGTTGTTCTCTGTCTTCAGCCGATATTTGTTTTCCTTTATGCTCTTCCAAATATTTTCCCACTTTTCTTATATCATCTTCCTCTTTCCTGTACAATTCTTTGTAAAACCTCTGAAATGCTTTTCTTATCTCTTTTGGGTCTTCCGTTTGATCTTCTCCTGTCCTTATTTTATTTATTATATTCTGGTTTTGTCTTTTCCTTAGTTGCCACGCGAATAATTTCCCTGTTTTGTTGGCCGACTCAAAGTATTTTTGTCTCATAAATGTTATCTTCCATTCAACTTCTTCGTTCACCAGTATGGAGAATTGAGTTTGTAACATTTTAATTGTTTTATTTGTTCGTCTTTTGGTTTTAATGTTAATTTTCTCTCATTTTCTGCAAGATGGGTCAGAATTTCTTCTTTCTTCTTCTCTCTCATCTTTTTCTTATAACTATTTTGCTGTATCAGGAAGCCTCGCATAACTGCTTTACTCGCATCCCATACTATATGTATTGGTCCCGGGGTGTGTGTGTTACCATGCAGGGTGGTCCATGTCCAGTCCGAGGCTGAAGTGGGGTCCAAGGCAGGGAGTTGGGCGTGGTCAGGAACTCTGGCAGAAAGCAGGACAGGGTGCCGGCAGGAACAGGTAACCAGCGATGTTGCTCCCGCAACCTGGGACTGGGTGGGCTGGCCTTTATCTCCTCTGAGGCATAGGGCAGCCCCGGTCCACAGGTGACTCGCCTCTCCTGGCCTGGAGGTGAGCACTCCTCCTAAGAGAACTTAGTTCCCTCTGCCTCTCTGCCCTGAGCCTCTGCAGCTCAGGAGAGGCTAGAGGGTTACTGGACCCAGGGGCAACCTCACCTTCCCCTGACAGGGCTGGGAGAGGAGCACCTGCAGGCAATGGGTCCTCGATCACCTCTGGAGCCAGAGTGGATTCAGCTGGTGTCTGCTCCTGAGGATCTGGCACAGGTGAGGGCCCTTCAGGTTCAAGCCCCTGCCCCGGCTCAGCCGGCCCTGGAAGCGGGGACTCCTGTGCAGGCTGAGATTCCTCCGGTTCAGCCTCTGAATCAGATTCCCAGGCCATCACACTATATCTAATCTTATTTCCTTATGTAGATTCCATTTAAAGTGTTCTTTTAAGACCTCATTTGCTTTTTCCACTACTTCTTGGTTCTCGAACAGATTTTTGTTCATCCTCCACCTAAAAGAGTTTTGTTCTTTACTCCTTAATTCCACCAAGGTACCTTTTCAAAGAACTGGCATGATATTCTCTAGATGCTTCATGCAGCTCCTGGCATTCCACCAGATAGTGCACAGAGCTCAACTTGGCCTTCACTATGCCAGGCCCATGCCATTTGACTGCCAGTTTGTGGGGTCGGGTGGGTTTCAACACTAAAACCCAATCTCCCACTTCAAAACTTTTTGTCACCCCCTTCAAATCATAAAAACATTTCTGTTCCAACTGAGCGCCCTCCAAATTCTCATTGGCAAGTTGCCAGATGTCAGACAATGTCTGCCTCAAGTTAGCAAAATACTTAGACACCGAAGGCAACTTAATCTCCTCCTCTGACCCTCCCACTCCCTCTGGAGCATGGACAGAGGGGTATTCAAGAGTCAATCAAAAATCAGCTGGTTGGGTGCAATACTTTGGGCAGAAGTATTGGGCAAGCTGGTAGCCCAAACATATCTAGAAATTGCACAAAACAAATGAAATATCTTGAAAATCCCTGAAACGAGAAGTAATCAACTAGAAATATTATATTGTGGAAATAAACTAAGCTTTTTGATTTTTATTATTTAGTTTACTTCCACAAAAATATCTAGAGGGAAAGGGTGTTATGTGGTCTCAGCAGCTGCTCTCAGTCACCGTCTAGAGCGCATTGCAGTAGTCCAAGCGGGAGATAACTAGAGCATGCACCACTCTGGAGAGACACTCTGCAGGCAGGTAGGGTCTCAGCCTGCGTTCCAGATGGAGCTTTCTGTAAGCCCATTTCCTTGGTGCTGATACGTAATACTAGTGTGATGGTGGACCTTTGCCAACTGCAAAACTTTCTGAGTTAGCTCAGCCATGACATTGGTTCCCAGATCACTCACCAGAACCTTAGGTATCCCCAAAGAAGGCCAAAACCAAAGCCTTCACAAGATTTTGGGCAGAAGTATTGGGCAAGCTGGTAGCCCAAACATATCTAGAAATTGCACAAAACAAATGAAATACCTTGAAAATCCCTGAAACGAGAAGTAATCGACTAGAAATATTATATTGTGGAAATAAGCTACGCTTTTTGATTTTTCTTATTTAGTTTACTTCCACAAAAATATCTAGAGGGAAAAGGTGTTATGTGGTCTCAGCAGCTGCTCTCAATCACCAGTCACCAGCAGCACCTTCAGGTCAGGTGGTTATCCCTTGCTGATTTTAGTATCCGTCTAGTCAGGACCAGACCCGGAGGCAGGGATAGTCCTCAGACAATGACTAAACCTGCCTCCTCTGTAATGACATGGTCTGGTCTTAGCGTAACTCCTCCTCCTACCCGTGATCACTGAGATCGGTTGTCCCAGTGCATCCCCTCCTGTGGAACATGCCCCAGCCATTTTGTTGGCTGGGACCCACTCCCTGGCAGCCCTGACCCCTCCCCTTAAGAACAAAATAAAACCTTTTAAAAAAACCACAATAAAACAAAAAAGAATACAAACAAAAAACTGTAAAAATTACAAATACATCAAAATCAAACAAATTCCCAAGCCCAACCAAACATCCATCCCACCCTCACCCCCCCCACATACAAAAAATTCAAAAGGAAAAAAGAAAAATTTAAAACATTTTAAAAAGAACTCTGCACCCCTCCGAGTCCTCCTGGACAGCAGCAGCAGCAGCAGCAACTGTCCTTATGAGGCCTGTCAGGCCCCGCCCTGGGCTAGGTGGTGAGTGACAGGAGCAGGACCCTCAGGCACTCACGCAGGGGAATCCTCCTGGGCAGCAACAGCAGTCCTTGTGAGGCCTGTCAGGCCCCGCCCTGGGCCAGGTGGTGAGTGGCAGGAGCGGGGCCCTCAGCGTGGGCAAGGATCAAGGAGACAGGTGGTGGTTTCACTCATCCAAGCAGCCTGTCCATATCCTCAGAGGTAACAGATTGGAATTGATCCCACGCAACTTGACTAGACAGGACTCTAGCACTTCTCAACTCTAACATGATTGGGTTCTGATCTGATACTGATTTAGGTTGTATTTCTACCTTTCTAATTTTCAAGGTTAAATTGTTTGTAACCCAGATCCCATCAATTCTTCCTGCCGATTGTTTTGCCTCTGAGTGATGCATGAATTGTTTTTCATTTGGGTATTTATGTCTCCATGCGCCTTTTAAATTTAAATCTTCTGCCATTTGGAAGAAGGATTGTGGAAGTCTCCCTTCTTTTGATTTCCCCCCTCTTTCTGTTCTATCTAATTCCAGTGAGGTGACCCCATTAAGATAACCCATTAGAATAATCTCTTCATTGATATGTTCTAACAATTTTTCCTCAACTGATTTAAAATACTGTGTTTTATTTCCATTTCGTGCACAAATGCCTACAGCTATTATATTTTCTATCCCTCTTGTTAATTGCACACCCAGTAATCTGCCTTCTTCATCTTTAAAAATTAATTTTGACGCTATTTTTGGGTTTACATATATAACAATTACCCCCTTTTTTGGATACCAGAGGTGATAAATTTGGTTCCTAATTTCTTGTTATTCAGTACTGTTCTGCGTCTTCTAGCCACATGTGTTTCCTGCAGGCAAATTATGTCCTATTTTTTTCTTTAAAATGTGTTCTATTTTATTTCTCTTTGTTTTATTTTTTAAGCCATTAACATTCAAAGAAACATGCATCCTTATGCATGTTACTTGACTGGGATGCCGCCTCGCAAAATTCAGATGTGAATTTTGAAGATGGGCTGTGTTTCAGTTTGCGTACGGTTTCAGAAATGTGAACTGAATTGAATCCCCCCCCCTTCCCTATTGCCAATGGATTATAGACCCCAAGGTGCTTCCCTTGGAAGTCTTGATCGCCACACAGATCTGGATCTTGCTTAAACACACAATGTTCAGAAAAAATAGCCACTTTTTTCTATGGAGATCTTCTCGGTGTCTTGCTTATATGGTGTCTCTGGGAATGTGCCAGAAGGAGGATATTAAAACTGAGTCCCATGGGTAATATTAATTTACAAGGCCCTTAAGAAATTTGGGCCCAGGATACCTTAAGGATTGTCTGATTCCCTGCCTGATCACTGAGGGCTTCAGTGGTCCCCTGTGGTTCAGCTGGACAGCATGTATTGAGTCCTGAATATTAAACAGTTACGGCTGTGGGCCTGATTCTGTGGGAACTCCTTCCTGGCTGAGATCAAACAGGCAACTCTTGAGGGCTGGCAGACTCACCTCTGTCCAGGTTTTGTGTCCTCCGCCAACTCCCTATTTTCTCTCCCTCTGGATGGAGAAGCCTCAAATTAAGACTGCATCACCCATTGCTGGCCCACAAAAAATGGCCAACCCCACTCCCTAAGATAATGCATCCCTTTTTAAACTTAACCTGTAAATGCCCTCCCTTGGCTCGCATCCGTCCCCTATTACCTTGCACCTCTGGATATTTCATCAGAATCAGGAATCCAAAACGGAGTGTGGAGCTCACGGTCTCAGTCCCAGCAATGAACAGGTTGAGAACAGTCATGATCATCGTTTTGAGATGAAACTCGCTCAGAGGGTTTTTGCTCTCCTTCAACAACAAGAATAATAATTTTTATTTATTTACACCCCGCCCATCTGGCTGGGTTTCCCTAGCCACTCTGGGTGGCTCCCAACAGAATATTAAAAACTTCCCTAAACTTCCCAGAGGCAGGGATTGTTTTTCTCCTCCTGCCCGTGAGATCAGGTGTCCCAGTGTATCCCCCCTGTGGAACCTGCCCCAGCCATTCTGTTGCCTGGGGTCCACTCCCAGGCAACCCTGACCATCTCCCCTTAAGAAGAGAACACAAACTATACAATAAACTAATAATACAGTAGAAACTAATAATAATTTTAGTATAATTGTAATTATTATTATTAAACTAATCCCCAGCCCCAACCAAAGGTTTATCCCATCACCAAGAGAGCAAAAACAAAACAAAAAAACCCAAAATTTAAAACATTTAAAAGCATTTTTGACATTTCCCCCAACCCCAAAGTTTGTTCCAGTGAGTCCAGGCTCATCAGTCCTCACAGGAGGGCAGTGTCCCTCTGGCCTCCCAGGAATCTGAAGCAGAGATGGGAGGGTCTGGTCCCCGCCTCGTAGGTCAGGTGGAAAACTGCCTACCATGCTCCTCAAATTGGTTATCTCCACAAAATGGCTGATCTCTTACTCCGCCTTTAAATCCCATCTTAAAAAGGCAACGCCCTTAAGGTGTTCACACGCTTCTCTCAAACACAACAGGCCTGCAAGGTAGGCCGCCGTCATTATTCTATTTATTTAGGGAGCAATCCTATGCTCCCTGGGGATGGTGGCTGAGAGGCCACAGGAGCCTGTGAGATGGATCACCTGGCATCTCTCCCCCCCAACTCATAGGACTAGATCTATAACAGGCACGACTCTTAAGTGTACTAGATTCTCTTCCACTGAAGCCAAACGGAGGGCAAAGTCAAAGGCGGTGGGGAAGAGAAATTAGCTGCCCACATTCCACTCTGGCCACAACGAGCCAACATGGCAGTTGCTTCGCCACAGATTCTCTCTGCCAGTCTCCCCCCATCCCTCCCCATGTAGGAGACACTTTTATTTATAAATTTATATTCCACTCTTTAGTCTATGTGCCCCTAGAGCAGATTACAAGATTTCCATTTAAAACACACACAAGCACAAGCAAAAGAATAACCAACCACTTAATATAATACTTCATAAGAAAGAGTGGAGCAGCCAGAAAGTGCCAGCTTTTAAAACAGAGCTGAAAAGATCTAATAAGGCTGGTCCAATATTAGTATTAGTATTAGTATTAGTTCTATTAGTATTATTTTATTTATTTATTGAATTCATATACTGACCTATACCCAGAGGTCTCAGGGCAGTTCACAGAAAAGACCAAAATACATAAAAGCAAAATAAAAACAATAAGCCAATAACCCCCCCCCCCAAAGAGCCACATTTTAAAAGGGTATGGGATGCTCATCAGGTCAACCAAAGTTCTGGTTAAAAAGGAACATTTTTGCCTGGTGCCTAAAGGTGTACAGTGAAGGCACCAGACAATCTTCCCTTCCATAGACTGGGAGCCACTGCAGAGAAGGTGCCCTTCTCTTGCCACCCTCCGGACCTCTCGAGGAGGCGGCACATGAAGAAGGGCCTCTGAAGACGATCTCTGAATCCAGGTAGACAATAAAGAAGTCTTGCCCTGGTGCCTGAAGGATATCAGTCCAGCTAGTCTGCCTGTAGACCACCCTCCCTCCCCTCCCTCTGTGGTCTCCATTTGCCTCATTTCACCTCTGAAGACCCCCAAGGGAGTCATCTTCATTGGGCTGGTTGAGGATGGAGAAGGTCGTTACGATGGGCAACTAGCCTTTCATAACCCACGGTTATAAAAGGAGGATACCTTTTTCATTTGAATAAGGAAGCAGTCGATAAAATCCCGGGGGTTGTCGGGGTCCAGTGATGCTTCGTTCACCTTGGCCCTCTCAGCCACAAAGTCATAGATGTCATCCAAGTTCCGGAATATCTTCTTGTGGGGCCCTGGCAGGAACCTCATGATCCATGGAAACATCTCGTACAGCTGCACGAAGAGCAATGATCTGTCACGTTTTGAGCATTCGTCCTTCAAGCACCTTGATGTTGCTTCTGACACCCACAGCCTTCCCTCAATGATGGCTCATTATGAAATAGAGATTGTGTTAGGGTTACGGCAGTCCTCCCTTACCTGGTGCCCTCCATGATGGTGGAGTCCAGGAGAGACAGGCGAGTTGGTGGCGAGGCCTCCACCATTATGTGTGATGGCCTGGGATTCAGACTCAGAGGCTGAACCTGAGGAATCCCAGCCTGCACAGGAGTCCCCGCCTCCAGAACCAGCTGAGCCGGGGCTGGGGCTTGAACCTGAAGGGCCCTCACCTGTGCTGGATCCTCAGGTGCAGGCGCCAGCTGAGTCTGCTCTGGCCCCTGAGGTGATGGAGGAACCATTGCCTACAGGTGCTCCACTCTCAGCCCCGTCAGGGGAAGAGGAGGTTGCCTCTGGGTCCGGAAACCCTCCAGCCTCTCCTGAGCTGCAGAGGCTCAGGGCAGAGAGGCGGAGGGAACTAAGTTCTCACAGGGGGGAGTGCTCGCCTCCAGGCCAGGAGAGGTGAGTCACCTGTGGACCAGGGCCGCCCTATGCCTTGGGGCAGATAAAAGCCAGCCAGCCCCAGTCCCAGGTTGCAGGAGCAACGTTGTTGCTAGCCTGTTCCTGCCTGCATCCTGTCCTGCTCTTCTGCCAGAGTTCCTGACTCCTCCCGACTCCCTACCTTGGACCCAGCTACAGCTTTGACGGACAGCCTCCACACCGCACCATCGACCTCGGACTGAACTCGGACCTCGCCTCTCAGTTAGCCCCCGGGATCAGCACATTATGTATCTGTACAGCCCAGAGCTTACCCCCACCTGGCCCCGACTTGTCCACGTAAGCAGCAGTTGACTCCACTGTTTGGAGGCTATTGCTGCAGCTCTGCCCCACTGGAATTGAAATTTGAGAGAACCTGGAGTTCAAAACATCTGGAAAACACCAGGTTGGGGAAGGCTGCACGAGTCTCTTGTGTTCTCCATCTTCTTGATACCCTTTCTGATTTTCAAAAACTTCCCCACCAAAGAGATTTCCATCACCTTCGATCACTCGCTACCATCTTTGGTGTCACCAGTTTTCTTTTAGTGCTGCCTGCTCCTGGATGTCGCTCCCAGGAGGCCAATTACAGTGGTCTCATTTTCCCTCTCCTGCCAACCTAGCAGTTCGAAATCACGTCAAAGTGCAAGTAGATCAATAGGTACCGCTCTGGCGGGAAGGTAAACGGCGTTTCCGTGCGCTGCTCTGGTTCGCCAGAAGCGGCTTAGTCATGCTGGCCACATGACCCGGAAGCTGTACGCCGGCTCCCTCGGCCAATAAAGCGAGATGAGCGCCACAACCCCAGAGTTGGTCATGAATGGACCTAATGGTCAGGGGTCACTTTACCTTTACATTTTCCCTCCTCCTAAAAATCTTATGCTTCCCCCCAAGTAGTCTTATCTGTTTTATCAAGTCTTCTTCAGTGGGTCTTAAATCTGGGGTCTCCCCTCTGGAAAAGGTGGGATGGTCTCAAGAAGAGCCACCCAGAACTCTCCCAGGGTGTTTCTGGGCTGATTACGAATGAATGAATGAAATCTTTATTGCGAAAAGCTATAAGCCGTCACAATGCGTAGGACACAGATAATTAATTTAAAACTGATCAGCAACAACAGCAAAGCAAACATACAAAAATGCAAAAATCACACCTGCATATGTTAAGCACTCCACTTTTTCCACACTTATGATACTTATCTCGGTGCCTAGCTCTGAACTTACTTGCAGCCAGGGCAAATTTTGCAACCTGTGCAGTAATAAATACGCTATTGATAGCCAGCAAAATAGAGATTTGCTCAAGGAGTGTTTGGTTGGAGAGAGAGCAAAGGACATCGTAACAAATAGTGTTGAATGTCCTTCACCTCCCCCGACTCAGAGTCTTTGGTACACGGGGGTGTTATTAAATCTTCCTGTTAGATATGCGGAAGGGTGGCGCTGTGGGTTAAACCACAGAGCCTAGGACTTGCTGATCAGAAGGTTGGCGGTTCAAATCCTTGTGACGGAGTGAGCTCCCGTTGCTCGGTCCCTGCTCCTGCCAACCTAGCAGTTCGAAAGCACGTCAAAGTGCAAGTAGATAAATAGGTACCACTCCGGTGGGAAGGTAAACAGCGTTTCTGTGCACTGCTCTGGTTCGCCAGAAGCGGCTTAGTCATGCTGGCCACATGACCCAGAAGCTGTCTGCGGACAAACGCCGGATCCCTCGGCCTATAGAGCGCGCAACCGCAGAGTCGGTCACGACTGGACCTAATGGTCAGGGGTCCCTTTACCTTTACTAGATATGCGGAAGGCATACACTGAAGACACAAAGCTGTGAATGCTTTTCTAAGTGGTGACTGGTTATGGGGCAAGATTTTAGCTGCTCCCACATCATCAGCATCTAAATGCCAGCCTGTATTTCCTCCCATTTCCCCTGGATTTGCCCTTTCCCGCAGAAAATCTGCTAAATTAAAAGCAGAAATGGTTGTCTATGTCTGAATGACCTGTTTGCTAAGCTAGGCCTCCCACCTGGAAGCACCTTAGACAGGTGGAAACAGAACACTTGTCAAACTGGTGGCAATAAAACTCCATACATTAAAAAAAAGCACGTCAGAGAACCTTCCTTTGGTTTGTCCTGCTGCCTCATTATGCTTCCCGAAGTAGAAAAACAACAATGTCACCTGATCTTGCCTCTCCTCTCAGACCTGGAAGCCTACCAAAGAAAGTGACTCAACAAAATTTTGTGCGGAAGGGCCGAACTCGATTAACCTGTGTGCTGCTCAAAGGACTAAGTTAAAGATTCATCAGGCTGGATTTGCTGCCAGCCTCGGCCTTCAGTGACAAGAATGGGGGCGGTTCCTCTGGGATCCTCCTTGTAGGGCAACTTCTCAGCCCACCTTCCTCGCTCCTCAGCCAAAGTTCTCACCTGGCCCCAGGTGTTGCTCATCAGCACAAAATTCTCATTGATCTTGGCCAGCAACGAGAGGAAGTCTTTGTCTTCGTAGTCAAAGCGCCGGCCAAAAACGATGGAGCAGATGACATTGGAAACTGACCGGCTCAGGAAGAACGTGGGGTCAAAAGGGGAACCTGCAGGGAGAATGGGAGCCATGACATGAAAACCAGGATTCAACCCCTGTCTCTTGCTAGTGATGAACTTTGCAAGTCTGGGCCTTAGTCAGCCTGCAGAGTAGGCAAGCCAACAGCCCCTGATCTACCACCCTTTGGGGAGCTGTTCACCTGTTCTGTGCACCTGGCATGAACCGTGTTTGGGGTTGGGAGGTGAGGGAAGAGTGTAAATGAAATGGTAAGAGGGAGGAGGGAATTGAGTAGAGAACAGCAACTGGGAATATGGTGGTTGGAAGGCAGAGAGGTTGGAGGCTGGTCGGGATTCAGTGGGTGGGGTTTAGGGGATCGCTTGTTCTCATTGCATTCATTCCAGACTTCAGTTTGCTGTGAATGTATTAGCAATGTTCGACAACAAACCCTCTGGCCATTGATAACCCTGGATATTGCCCTTCAGTTCCGCAGATGGAAGCACATTAAATTTATTGCTTTCCTAAAATTTGGAATAGTCAGATTGATCAGCTGATCAGCCTGCCTTCTGTTGGTAAAATAGAAGCTGCATTTATATAATTTTGCAACTCGATATCCCAGATGTGTTGGTGTATGTTTTCTTTGGCTTTTACATAACTCATGGCAAGAATGGCATTTGGTGAGAATCCTAGACTGAGTATTTTCTTATTTACTATCTTCTTCCACCTTGACTGAAATGTATCAGTAAGGTCAAGGGAGCCAGTCCTTTAGGCATGGATAACAATTTTAACCAGATATTTAACTTATATCAAGATCTGAGATGCAATAGAAATTTGTCCAGTCTCTAATTGTAAAACTACATTGGGCACACATATTAGAAGGCTGAGAACAGTTCTCAGAAATTTTGTTCGGTCAGATTCCTAGGTACAAGAACCTTTAAAATGAAAAAAAAGCCAACCATTTTACTGTGGGATTAAAGCAAATACATTTAATAATAAAAATAATAATTTTATTATTTATATCCCGATCTGGCTGGGTTTCCCCAGCTACTCTGAGTGGCTTACAGCACATAAAAAATTGTAAAACACTAAACATTAAAAATTTCCCGATAGAGGGTTGCTTTCAGATTCATCCCTCTCTTGAGTTTGTAGTTGATGCATATGTTACTTTAAAGCACATGAGGGCACTGTTTGTCTAGTGACCTAGGCACCCTCTGCTTCTACTATATCTAAGCTAACTCCACCCCTAAAATCTGAGCCATTTTTGTTTGCTGTTCTCACCAGACAAGATGCCTGATATTTCTCTCCTTGCATCTCCACTCATCCGTAAATAGTTCCTGCGTGAATAAAGCCTCTGAACTCCAGAAACTGTAAGTGATCTTTTCAATCCAATTCAAGCTGTCAGGTCTGCTAACATTTACTACTCCAGTTTTCCAACCAAAAGCTCACCACAAAATGGCTTTAAGTCCTATTTATTCTCAACCATGCTTGAAGCATGGACATGTACCTAGCCACTGCTACTTATGATATGCATAAATAATATAACAGTTATACACTGTTTGATTGTAATAAAACCTCAAAGCAGTTTACTTTCTCACACAGTGCTGTTGGCATGGTAAGGCTATGATGCGCCTCTGTAGAACTGGTGGCATCCCAACATCCTACACAAAGTATCTCTCTGTGTAGACAACCCAGCCAGATGGGCAGGGTATAAATATTAAATCATTGTTATCATTACGATACGATATGATACGATATCTTTATTGTCATTGTCCCATACAGAACAATGAAATTGAAAATCTACATAAGACATTCAAAAACCCCTAAAAACTCTGATTCCCCATTTTAAAATACAATATACCATAGAGACTCCTTATACTGCGTTTAGAACCAGAATTGCATTTGGGTAGAAACTGTTTGGTTGACCACAAACTTGACATGAGCCAACAGTGTGACGCAGCAGCTAAAAAAGCCAATGAAATTCTGGGCCTCATGAACAGGAGTATAGCATCTAGATCAAGGGAAGTAATAGTGCCACTGTATTCTGCTCTGGTCAGACCTCACCTGGAGTACTGTGTCCAGTTCTGGGCACCACAGTTCAAGAAGGACACTGACAAACTGGAACGTGTCCAGAGGAGGGCAACCAAAATGGTCAAAGGCCTGGAAACGATGCCTTATGAGGAACGGCTAAGGGAGCTGGGCATGTTTAGTCTGGAGAAGAGGAGGTTAAGGGGTGATATGATAGCCATGTTCAAATATATAAAGGGATGTCACATAGAGGAGGGAGAAAGGTTGTTTTCTGCTGCTCCAGAGAAGCGGACACGGAGCAATGGATCCAAACTACAAGAAAGAAGATTCCACCTAAACATTAGGAAGAACTTCCTGACAGTAAGAGCTGTTTGATAGTGGAATTTGCTGCCAAGGAGTGTGGTGGAGTCTCCTTCTTTGGAGGTCTTTAAGCAGAGGCTTGACAACCATATGTCAGGAGTGCTCTGATGGTGTTTCCTGCTTGGCAGGGGGTTGGACTCGATGGCCCTTGTGGTCTCTTCCAACTCTATGATTCTATGATTCTATGTTTCTCAGTCCTGGTCTTTATAACCCTGAAGGCAGAAGCTGAAAGAGATCATTTCTAGGGTGCACACTATCCTGCGCTATCTCTGCACCTTACAGCATAGATTTGATCCAAGGTGGGAAGAGTGCACCCAATTATTCTCTCCGCAGTCTTTACAACCCTGGACAGCATTGTTTTTTCCCTGGCCGTGCAGCTCCCAAACCAAACACACAGACCATAAATTAATACACTCTTAACAGTACAATGGTAACATGCCATCAACAGGTCCTTTGAGAGATTGTTTTTCCGGAGGATTCTCAGAAAATATAACCTCTGCTGTGCTCTCTTCATCAGGTCTTTACTGTTTTCTCCCCAGTTAGATCATCTCTCAACTCCATTCCCAGAAATCAAAACACCGAGACCTGTTCCACACACTTCCCCTCGATAATAAGTGGCTGAATATTCAATTTACATTTCCTAAAGTCCACAATAATCTCTTTTGTTTTCTTTAAGATAAGGAGTAAGTTGCTTTTCCTGCACCACTCCCCCAACTGCTCAACTTCCTTCCTATAGGCCGTCTCCCCCTCTCCAGCCGTGATTAAACCAACCACTGTTGTATCATCTGCATTATTACCTTGAGATGCCATTGGGAATTGAACCTGTGACCTACATGCCAAGCAGTTGCTCCAGCATGGAGCTACGGCCTTCCCCCTATTTCACAGTACAAGAAAGGAGGAAAATATCCTGACCGTCAGTTTTTCTGAATTCCTCCAACAGGAACTGGGACTCTTCCTGGATTCGCTCTTCGATGGACCTTTTCCCCATTCCAAAATTCCGCAAGGTGCTGAGTGTGAACCGTCGGAGTTGCTTCCAGCGTTCTCCGTTGGCAAAAGCAATCCCTGAAAATGCAACAAACAAACAAACAAAAGCCAACCCCCTCAGCAGCCAAACATCCTTCCAGATGTGTTCCCCCTGCTTTCATTCTTCAGAATGACCCTGTTTGTGCATTAATCTGCTCTCACGTTGGGTGGTTCATAGAGCCCCAGCAGAGATTTAAAATCATAAAGCATGCAGCAAAGTGAAGCATGGAAATAAATAATAATAATAAAATTTTATTTATACCCCGCCATTCCCGGTTCAAAAACCGGGCTCAGGGTGGCTAACAACAAATTTAAAACACTTAATTGTAAAAGCAGCATAAAATTCAGTATAAAAACATGAATATCAATAAAATTCAAAATTCAGAAATCAATTTGGGGGAAATCCATCCAATAAACATTGGATAGTCACCAGGGCTAGCTGGCTGAATTAGTCCTACTTGGGCCAGTGAGGAGACCAGGGGAGAATTAGCTGTGGGGTCTCAGAGTGGGTGATCTTCATAAAAGGGGAGGGAAGGGAAATAAAAGATCAGGCTGAATTCAAATTAAAGGCCAGGCGGAATAGCTCTGTCTTAACAGGCCCAGTGGAAGGTTAAATCCTGAAATAAAGGCTGTTAGACCTTTAAAATATCCCCTTCTTCCAAAGCTCCCTGCTTCCCTTAGCTGAGAAGGAGACCACCTGGTTGATAAGCTAAAAATGGTTTACTTACAGACTCTTCAAAAGTTGCCTCCAGAAAAGACAGAGGTAGTATATTGGGTTCAAAAAAGTGGTAAACGTTTCTCAATTATTTGTATAGAAGTACAAAGGTGGCTGACTAAAGCCATGCAGTCTAAACATCCAGTTTAGACCTCCTTAGTGACAGGGTTCACATGGTGGAACAATAGAGAACAAAGGGTTTGGTAAACCTTCTCCCAAGGTGAGGGGGTGTGGCCTAGCTAAGCCTGGCATGGTAGCTTACTCTGTGGACTTAACCCCTCCATCCATTAATTAGAGTTAAACATGTTGGTTATATGAGGCTGGATATATCCTACAGCTGGGACTGGTGCTCCCAACATCCCCAGCCAGTTCAGCAAGGATGATGGGAATTGTAGTCCACCAATATCTGGGTGCCAAGGTTGAAGGAGACTGCTCTAGGTAACCAGGGTTGTTTGCAAGCGCTGAGATGTTGTTCAACACCAAGAGCTGTTGTGGTCAAAGCTCCATAGAGAGCTACATAAATAAGAAGGACTGCAAAAGCGGGTGAAAGACGAAGACACCAGGCCGTTGAGATTCTAGAATAGCAAAACATGCTTCAGATGGGTTGCTTACTGGGAACGGCCCTGCAAACATACTAATATGGAAGACTAGTGCAGACTTCTTGGGAGAAAAGCAATGACAAACCTAGACAGCATCTTAAAAAGCAGAGACATCACCTTGCCAACAAAGGTCCGTATAGTTAAAGCTATGGTTTTCCCAGTAGTGATGTATGGAAGTGAGAGCTGGACCATAAAGACGGCTGATCACTGAAGAATGGATGCTTTTGAATTCTGGTGCTGGAGGAGACTCTTGAGAGTCCCATGGACTGCAAGAAGATCGATCCATTCCTAAGGAAATCAGTCCTGAGTGCTCACTGGAAGGACAGATCCTGAAGCTGAGGCTCCAAGACTTTGGCCACCTCATGAGAAGAGAAGACTCCCTGGAAAAGACCCTGATGTTGGGAAAGATGGAGGGCACAAGGAGAAGGGGGCGACAGAGGACGAGAAGGTTGGACAGCGTTCTTGAAGCTACCAGCATGAGATTGACCAAACTGCGGGAGGCAGTGGAAGACAGGAGTGCCTGGCGTGCTCTGGTCCAGGTCGTCACAAAGAGTCGGACACGACTAAATGACTAAACAACAACAACAAGTACAGACTTATTTCTGCTGTGGCTCCGGGTAACTGACTGATCTCTTTGGAACTCACCGAAACCCTGAACGAAGTCGTCCACTGTGGCCAAGTACCCTCTACTACTGAACTCTTCTGCATGGTCCACCAGGGCTTCCTTGATGGCCTTGTATCCATACAAGACGACCACCCGTCTGGGTCCCAAGTGAACTGTGAACACTGGTCCATACTGGTCTCTTAGCTGAAATGGGAACCGGCAGGGTCATTAGTGATCTTCCCTGAGACATATTGTATTGGCTGTAAGTCATTTTGCGTTGTCTTGGGCCAAGATAAAAAGCCAAACAAATTCCATAAGAATATGCATAAATGGCGAAACTTACCGGAAGAATAAGAAATGAAGATAACACACTGGAAATGGTTTATTGAATATTTACAGATAAATTGCAAACAGATAAAGACATTGGCAGGATTACTGTAATAACCTGCAGTTTCATAAGAGAGTATATTTAAAGTAGATAATTAAATGAGTAAATTGAATGAATTTGGATATGCAGAAGATATTAAAAAATTAATTTAAGGAATGGCAGAAGGAAGTCAAACTCTGAAATGTTAAATTGATTGTAAAACTAATGAAATGTATAAACTTGAAAAGTATAAATAAAAACTAACAAATTTAATAAGTAATAAGTAATATCCCTGCTATGGGACACGGGTGGCGCTGTGGGTTAAACCACAGAGTCTATGGCTTGCTGATCAGAAGATTGGTGGTTCGAATCCCCGCGATGGGGTGAGCTCCCGTTGCTCGGTCCCTGCTCCTGCCAACCTAGCAGTTCGAAAGCACGTCAAGTCAAGTAGATAAACAGGTACCGCTCCGGCAGGAAGGTAAACGGCGTTTCCGTGCGCTGCTCTGGTTCGCCAGAAGCGGCTTAGTCATGCTGGCCACATGACCCGGAAGCTGTACGCCGACTCCCTCGGCCCGTAAAGTGAGATGAGCACTGCAACCCCAGAGTCGGCCACAACTGGACCTAATGGTCAGGGGTCCCTTTACCTTTACCTTTAAGATCCCTGCTAGCCTTTGCCTCCTGCCGTGGCCATCTAGCACAGCCCTCTCCAACCCGATGCCCTCCAGATGTTTTGAACTACAACCAGAGCCGCCCTTCCCATTTGGTTTGCTGGCGCGTTGCGCCAGGATGCCGGCCTCTCAGGGGCGCCCCAGCAAGTGGGGGAGCTGTGCGGCTTTGCCGGTGGCCTCCCCTTTCCTTCCTGCACACCCGCCAGCTACGGCCCGTCAACCATATGGCTGGTGGGCATTCAGCTTGCCTCCCAAGCCTCCGCAGGAGGAGAGCGATACCCGCAGAGGCTTAGGATGGAAGATGCACCCCGTCAACTACCGTATTTTTCGCTCCATAAGACGCACCAGACCATAAGATACATTTAGTTTTGGGAGGAGGAAAACAAGAAAAAATATATTCTGAATCTCAGAAGCCAGAACAGCAAGAGGGATCACTACGCAGTGAAAGCAGCGATCCCTCTTGCTGTTCTGGCTTCTGTGATAGTTGTGCAGCCTGCATTCGCTCCATAAGACACACACACACATATTTCCCCTTACTTTTTAGAAGGGAAAAAGTGAGTCCTATAGAGCAAAAAATACGGTATATGGCTGGCAGGCGTGCAGCTTCCTTCCCAAGCCTCTGCGGGAGGAGAGGCTTGGAAAAGGTCGACAACTCTTGGAAACAGTGGGTGGGGGGCCGAAGGGAACTTTGCACCACAGCGCCGTATATGCTTAAGATGGCCCTGACTACAACTCCCATCAGCCCCAACCGGCATGGCTGCATAATTCTAGGGATGATGGGACAACTGCTGTGCTGGCTGAGCTGATGGGAAGTGCTGCCCACTGCAACATCTCGGCACCATCTAGGTTTTTTACTTGACTATCAGTTGCTGCTCTCTGAGGCCTTAAGTGAAGGACAGTCCGACTGCTGCTTCCTGTTGGCATGCAAAGTACCCAATCCGCCATGGAGCAAGGCCCCAACCTGGTGCTCAACCCAGACTGGCTGCATTATCGGAGTTGGAACTGAACCAACAAGGGCGCCTTGGTATCGGTTTTGGTGCTATTGCGTTATCTCCCAAAACGCTGCCGATCATGACGCAAGGGCCCCGGCGCAGCTCCAGTGCTGGTGTCACGGTGGTAAATCCCCCTTTGTCTTTGTTCTCGCCACAAGGCTCTTCTTCTGCCCCCAGAAAGAGCCGCACCCGCCCCACCACCCTGACAAGCCTTGGCACATTTTTTCCAAGAGGGTAACCCGATACCCTTTCAAAGGGCTGCACCTCTTGGGAACAGGCGGTGGCTGGGAAATTTAATACCCACCACCTCTGCAAACTCCATGGGCACACAGGCTTATCTCGCTGTAGCCAGAGGTGGGTATTAATCCCAGTTTATTAATGCACATCTGTGGCCCACTTTCGGTTAATTAAAAGAGACTGAAATTTGCTGCTGATTGCATCTGCTCGTTTGCTTTCCTCCTGCAAACGATAAGCCAGACTTGTGCCTGGAAATGGCCTTCAATCTAAAAACAGATACAGTGGTACCTCAGGTTAAGTACTTAATTCGTTCCGGAGGTCCGTTCTTAACCTGAAACTGTTCTTAACCTGAAGCACCACTTTAGCTAATGGGGCCTCCTACTGCTGCCGCGCCGCCAGAGCACGATTTCTGTTCTCATCCTGAAGCAAAGTTCTTAACCTGAAGCACTATTTCTGGGTTAGCGGAGTCTGTAACCTGAAGCGTATGTAACCTGAGGTACCACTGTAGAAAGATATGCAAGAAAGGAAAGGAAGCGTGCGAGGGAGAGGTATAGAAATTTAGAGGTGAAAACAAAGCAAAGAAGATAGATTGCAAAGTATAAAAGAGGGGAAATGGGCTAGGCCTATGAATTTGCTCAGGGTCAGTGGTCCAGCAAAGTCAGCAAAAAAGGAGAGAGGCCGACAGTAGAAAGTGCAGTTTTAGATGTTAGACAAGAACTCAGAGCAGAGCCTAACAAAAGCAGGAAATAATAGAAAGAGAATAGAATGAGAGGAGGGTTGTTGTTTTTTTGGTCACCTTGTTCTCCCACTTTAATTTTCTTTCTTTTTTAATTACAAGGTTCTAGCCCTCATGAATCTCCTCTTGGCACTGAGGCAGGAGAGCCTCAATGGAAAGGGGCAATGGTAGATCGCTTGGTCCTCACGCAGAATACTACTACTACTACTAATATTTATTTATATCCCACCCTCTCCAGCCAAAGCCAGGCTCAGAGCGACTAACAACAATAAAAGTAACACAGCATTCTAAAATTAATTCATTCTAAAATCAATTCAGAATCAAATTAATGGCAACCATTGGGCTAGAGTTCTATGAGGATTACCAAAGGAGGGGGTCAGACTGTGCCTTGGCCAAAGGCCTGGTGGAACAGCTCTGTCTTGCAGACCCTGCAGAAAGATGTCAAGTCCCGCAGGGCCCTAGTCTCTTGTGACAGAGCGTTCCACCAGATTGGAGCCGCGGCCGAAAAAGCCCTGGCTCTGGTTGAGGCCAGCCTAACCTCCCTGTGGCCCGGGACCTCCAAGATGTTTTTGTTTGAAGACCGTAAGGTCCTCCAGGAGAGGCCCTGGGTACATGGCTACTCAAAGGCTGAAGTCATACAGGTGATGATGACAAAGATATCTCTTGCCCTGAGGCTCTGGAGAGCTGGGGCTGCCAGCCAGAGTGGACAAGACTGGACAAAAAGTCTGACTTCTGCAAAGACGGGTGCCGTCGCAACGGCTTACCTTCTTGAACGATGTGAGCATGTCATGGGTCTTCAGATCCAGCAGGTTGCCCAGGATGGGGAGGGGCGTAGGCCCCGGGGGCAGCTGCCTTCTCTGAGCCATTTGGCTCCATGCTGAGAGGAGGACCAAGGCCGAAAGGCAAACCACCAGCAAGGCCAAGAGGCTTTCTGCCAGCTCCAACATGCCTGAAGCAAATGGAGAGGGAGGTTTATCTGGGGACTTAGGGAACTAACAGAGCCACACCTGCCCTCGCACGGTGGGGCTGATAAAAGCAAACAGAAATCAGTGTGACTGGTGCAAATCTTGGAAATCTTCACCTTTATAGCAGAACCTGTAGCCTTGGTAAACATAATTTGTACCCAGCCCAGCCCTGAAAATGCTGTCTATGGCTGTATGCCCTTTGCTCCCAAGCCCCAGAATGTAAATTGCTTTTGGTGCATGAGATGGCAGTTTCTTCATGGCGAGTTCCTGCACCTATTTTTTTTTTAAGTTTTTTAAGTATTACTTAAAAGCAACAGCTGCAAGAGGAGCAGCTGTTGCAGCAGAAACAACCATTTTGTGGAACCTCAGAGACCAAGACCATCATACATAGGGAAGTTTTTAAGCATTGCCAAAAAAGCTGAAAAACATCTTCATGCATGCGACAACGGCCACGAGAGTTCTAATAGCACAAGGATGGAAGACTGAAGAAATCCCAACTAAAGAATCATGGCAAGAAAAACTGGTGGACTATGCAGAACTGGCAAAACTGACACATAAATTACGGGACAAGGATAACTGTGACTTTAAAGATGAATGGGAACCCTTTACAAAGTATTTGAAGACGCAACAAAGCGAACCGGACTCCTTGGCTGCCTCTGAATAAACATTCACAAACTTTTAATTGATGATAATCAGCTAAATAGTTTGAGGATCTATAACATGCAGAAAACAGCATTCTTAGAGAAATCAGAGACTGGAACTGAGGGAAGCCAGGGGGTGGGGTGGGTGGGTTTTGTGTGGGAGGGTGGGGGGAGGGAGGAACAATGGGGAAAAAAATAAGGATGATATGTTTCTGGATGATATGTTTTGTTTTAATTTCGAATTAATTTTTTTTTAAAGAAGAAAGTTTTTAAGCATCAAATCAGCGAGTGCCTGCTGGATGTTTGGGACTGCAACTCCCCTTAGAGTTAGCCAGCACGGTCATATGCTGCTGGGGCTTATGGGAATTGCAATCCAGGAAGTCAGGGGGCACTAGGTTGGCCGGGGGAGGGAGGTACCTTAAAAGTTTAAGATGCCACAAGCACCTCTCTTCTTTCAGTCCTTAAAGTATGACTGCAAAATGGAGCTTGTGGATGGGAAATGGAAGGTTGCAGAGGCCTTCAAGGAGGGGTTTAGAAGAACCCAAAGTTTCACTTTCCATCCAGCAACTCTATCCAATCCATTGCCTTTTCTTTTTAAATCCAGGTTATGGCGGCCGGGGTGGGGGGAGAGCAGCTTGCCTCTTGCTCAGGGCTCTGATATCAACCTCCAAGCAAATTTTTATGCCCCTCCTCCTAGACATCATTGAATTTGACAGTAGGGTAAAGGTAAAGGGACCCCTGACCATTAGATCCAGTTGTGGCTGACGCTGGGGTTGCGGCGCTCATCTCGCATTATTGGCCAAGGGAGCCGGCGTACAGCTTCCAGGTCATGTGGCCAGCATGACAAAGCCGCTTCTGGCAAACCAGAGCAGCACACCTTACCGCCGGAGCGGTACCTATTTATCTACTTGCACTTTGAGGTGCTTTTGAACTGCTAGGTTGGCAGGAGCAGGGACATGAGCAACGGGAGCTCACCCCGTCACGGGGATTCGAACCGCCGACCTTCTGATCGGCAAGCCCTAGGCTCTGTGGTTTAACCCACAGTGCTACCCGCGTCCCTTAAATATTGGAACTCTTTGTCAGAAGTGGGATTCAAACCCACACCTCCAGGGGAGACTGCGACCTGAACGCAACGCCTTAGACCGCTCGGCCATCCTGACAGCAGCAAAACAAAACAAAACTAACAGGAGGGGCGAAGAAATAGTTGAAAGAGCGAAAGAAATGCTGGTAGAATTCTTTGAAATTAATAAAACAGAAGGATCAGATATAAATGTAATTTGGGACACAAGCAAGGCCTACATGAGAGGTTTTGGGATACAACAAATGGTTCGGATAAAGCAGAAAAAGGAAAATAACATACAAGAAATAATAAGACAGGTAAGAGAACTGTTCAATGAAAAAGAACTGATTAAAAATCCAAAAAACGAAAGGATAAATCAAAATATGAAGATCCTACAATCACACATTTCCAATCTATTAAACAATGAAGTAGAAAACAAAAATAAATGGATGAGACAAAGATATTTTGTATCGGCCGACAAGCCCGGCAGGATGTTAGCTTGGTTGATAAAGAAAAAACAAACCGAGAGAAATATAAATAAAATAATAGATCAAGGGGAAGAAATAGTTGACCCCGGAAAAATCAAAGACATTTTAATAAATTATTACAAAAAGTTGTATAAAAACATAAAAATGGAAATAAAAGAGTATTTGCTACAAAATAAATTACTGGCCATTGTAGAAGAATATAGACATCTAAATTCTAACATAGAAATAGAAGAAATTGTACAAGTTATTTTTGTATGGGTGATGATTTAAATTGTCTTAAGTGTTTATTATAGTTATTTTTTATTATCTTTATGTTCTTAATTTTTGTTTTTGCTTAGTTTTCGTTTTTCTTTTTTTCTTGTCTTTAGTTGATATGCTTGCATGTTTTGCTTTGTTTGTATTTGCATATTAATTCAATAAATTCACAAACAAAACAAAACAAAACGAACTTTCAAATCACCAGAGGGATCATTTAGTGAGCATGAGGTGGCCACAGCCTTCCTCCTTAGCTGATCCACACAATCATGTTGTGTGTGTGTGTGTGTGTGTGTGTGTGTTTGTTTGGTGGTGCTGGAGGAGACTCTTGAGAGTCCCATGGACTGCAAGAAGATCAAACCTATCTATTCTTAAGGAAATCAGCCCTGAGTGCTCACTGGAAGGACAGATCCTGAAGCTGAGGCTCCAAGACTTTGGCCACCTCCTGAGAAGAGAAGACTCCCTGGAAAAGACCCTGATGTTGGGAAAGATGGAGGGCACAAGGAGAAGGGGGCGACAGAGGACGAGATGGTGGGACAGTGTTCTCGAAGCTACCAGCATGAGTTTGACCAAACTGCGGGAGGCAGTGGAAGACAGGAGTGCCTGGCGTGCTCTGGTCCAGGGGGTCACGAAGAGGCAGACACGACTAAATGACTAAACAACAACAACATGCACACAGCTGACGTGTGGCCCCCAGAGGGTGTATGCGGCCCTCTCAGACAAAGAAAAGAGAAAAGAAAAAAGTTGGCTCTGTTCTACAGGCCTGTTGGCTCTTCTTGACCAGACTTGCTGATAAAGAGGATAGTCTCAAAGGAGGGAAGTGGACCGGGGAGAGGAAAAAAACAAGGCAGGTTTATTCAGCCTTGGGTGGAACCAGAGGAGAGGACTGTACAAACAAACCCTCCCTTCATGGCATTTGGCACTCCTGGGTTACCAGGAGGTGTGAGAGACGCTGAAACGAGAACTGTGAGAAAAGAGCTGGCAAAAGAGGCCAAAGATTGCTCAACGACAGACCCAAAGCTCAGGTGGATTTCCCTACCTATTTTGCAAACATTTCCCATTTTACCACGCCAGACTTGGAGTGCGAAATTCACTTTCTGCAAGTGAAGCTTTGTGATTCAAGGACCCGCCACCCCCTTGTGAATAAGAAAGACACATGGACACAGTATGTTAGGTTAATGGGCTAAAAAAAGGCCACAACTTTATTGATTACAGCATGTGAGAGGTATTGGCTTAGGCACTGGATAAAACAACAGAGGAATGGCAGATGAAACTAATAGACTATATGGAACTGGCGGAAATGACTGGTAGAATCCGTGACCAGGGAGAAGAGTCGGTGGAGGAGGATTGGAAGAAATTCAAAGACTATCTACAGAAACACTACAAAATTAAAGAATACTAGAGTGATGTTGGATGGAAAATAAGTGGTTTCCAGCTGTACAGGATTTAAAGTTATAGATAGATTAAAATTAAAGATTAGGATTAAAGAAGTTTAAGGAAATGGAAATTTGGTATTTTAAGAGGTAAAATTTTAATGCTATATTATATTAAAGATTAAAGATTGGGATTAAAAAGTGGAAAAGAAATTGCTGGACAAACAATTTGGACTGGAATACAAAAGAGGGAGGTATGAGGAGGTCCAGAAAATAAGTAAATTTAAACACGGAAATGAAAAGGTGATTGTTTTTAATTGTTCCGTTTCCTTTTTATTTTTTCTTTGGATTATGTACTGTGTATTTGTGTATTTCTTTTTTATGTGTATTTGTGTATTTCTTTTTTATGTTTTTCTGTTTAATTTTTTACTGAAAACTTAATAAAAAAATATCTTTTTTAAAAAACAACAACAGAGTGTGACTCCACCCCCTCAGGGAGGGGTGAGTCTAAGAAGGGTTAACTACCAGAGGAGCCTGTTGATGCAAATACAACTGAAAGCTCCCCCTGATGTCACCGGGGGTCGTGCCATGGCCCTAGCCACCAGCAAGGGCGTCGGACAGGATCTACGACCGCCGGATTCCTTTACCGGAATACCCATAAAGTGGAGGGGTAGGCGATGGCCACACCCTGCCTTCCAATACACAAACATATTCCAATGCCTAACCGCCAATACCTAAAAGTCGTGACGATTTGCGGGGGGGCCACTAGGGGCGCATCGGAAGATGGCTGACAATAACATCTCTCTGACCCACATGAGGTAATTAGGAGGCTGTGATGGGAGTAAATAGCCTCCCTACCCCCCAAGGTTGTGGGGGGGGGCTGCCCTTGCCTGCTGTGCCCTATACCACCCCCGAATTTGTGGGGATGGGGGCACTAGGCAGAATGCCCTTCTGTGGGATCTCGGCGCTCCTGGACGCTGTCTCTGATCTGCGCCACTAGCTGCAAGAATTTCAAAAGAAGCAGTTAGGAGGAAGCGAATGCACATATTTCAAGGAAGGAGGGGGAGTAAAGACTGCTAACTGAAGAGATCTCTGATAAACAAGACGAGTCGGAAGAACAAGTATAAATCATGAGAAGATACGCCAAGAGGCAAAGGGACTGATG